GGGACTTTGTCCCGACCTTTGTGACACTTATGTACTCTTAGAGGCTTGTAGACATATGTCGTGTACGTGAAAGATTGTACGGCCTTGTCGGCCTATGTTTGATTTTATAAATGATTATGTTAGCCTATTAGGCCCATATGTCACATGTATATAATGATGTAATAAGAAAGGTACATTACGTTGGTACTCGGTCAAGTAAGGTACTGGGTGCCCGTTGCGGCTCATCGGTTTGGGTCGTGACATGACCGTTTGGGCCTGGGACCGGGTGCTAGCAGAATGAACTATAAATCCACACTCGAAAGGAGTTCGAGATTAAATTATTATGAAGAGTGGCCTCATTAATTGAAAAACCCTTTCACTTTCTTGAAATTTTTGACGTGTGTGATAGACAGTAAGATAGAATTAGAGCCCAGAAAGTTTCTTTGTGTCTGAAATTGTGGGTTGGCAATAGACACCGAGCGGTTGTTATTTGGGCTGGCAAAGATCTATAGCTAATAAGGTGAGGTGCTGTTGATACAGATTCCAAAGTGGTACATGGATCCTTATAAATTAGTGCCATACAATGCAGTATTATCTATAATCTTTTAATTCTATCCAAATGTTGTGGAGTAGTAAAATTGTTCATTGGCCATTGTAATATTCAAATTCATGTGCTTCTAGTAATGTATGCGTACCCAAACGCAGATTTAGAATTTCTAGTATATGGGCGCACTACTAAAAAAAGAAAAAATATATTAAGTGAGCATTGATCTCTATTCCCTTAGGTAAATAACACAATTTTAAACTAAATGCACCATTTAGCCTTCTTGGAATATGGATACCAACAATTAATATTATACCAAATTTAGAAATAATTAATTTTGCAGAGAGATCATGAGACTTCCCCTATAAATTCGCCCCTGATCTCAAGAAATCAATAAGGCGGATTAACTGCTGTGACTGAAGCAGTTTCAATTTCACAGCGTTTGTGCTTCATTAACGGTTCATAGAAAAGAAAAAAAAAACACTCTTTAAGCTAATCTCGTTTTTGAGACTGGAGTACTACAGAACTTTGCTCGACAGTTTTTGCTAATCTCATCTGTAATTTCTTCCCCTGTAATTGGTTTGATCGTAATAAACATACACTCGTGCGAATAGTATATTCTGCTTATTTGGTGTTTGTTGGAAGATAGAATGAATGTTGCTACAAGTGTAAAATATTAACTCAACAAATTGAAATAATCAAAATCAAAAATTTCTCACTAAGAAAACAAGAGATGGAAATTGAGTTTTCACCGATTACTGTAAACATACAATACATACTTATACACACACATGTACATATTGAGGAGGAGTATAATACACTATTAAAAATATAATACAAAAGATTAACATTAATTAATGATTAACAAATATGGCAGTAAAATATTTATATATATAGCAGATTTAATTCAATTCAAATCAGCAAGAATCAGGTTGTTTAAAAAGGCAGTCCTAGCATTTAATATATTTTCCTATTTTTTCTCTCCATTCCATACCATGTTTTATATTTTTTATAGAAACCAATCCATTCCATAACAGATTTTTCCTTTTCATACATGGACCTTTTTATATAATGTAATGTAGCGAATTATACATCTTTATATTCTAACAAAATAAAAAGCATATATTTACGAAAAAATTATAATGTATGTTTGTGGTGTATAAACATTATAAATCATATATTTTTTTTAGGAAAATTCATATATATATATATGCATATGTTGTTTATATATGTCTTTATATTTATCGATCCATTCCATAATAATTTTTTTCCTTTTTACACATGGACCTTTTTATTCAACTTAATCCTAGCAAAATTATATATTTGTATATTCCAATGGAATAAAATACATATATTTCGTGAAAAAAATATAATGTATGTTTATGGTATATTATAAATCATGTATTTTTTTAGGAGAAATTATGTATATATGCATATGTTATTTATACACTTATTTATATTAAAGAGATATTATAAATATGCCATTTATATTTTGCACTAATATAACATGCATATTTGTACAAATTATCCGTATATAAATAGTATATGTGACATATTTTTTTTTCTTCTATATACATATTAGTGGCATACTAATATTTTAGATTAAATTTTATGTAAGGTATATGCTAGCAATATACTTTGAATAATATCAATATAATAATGCAGTATAATGTATATATATATTGATGGAATATTTACATTGTAAATTATCACAATATAATATACTTGAAATATGTTAAATGTATATTTTTAGTTAAAATAAAATTGTACAGAAAAAGTTTAAAACTCAAAAAAGAAAGAAATACTAAAATTCTCATTGTGTAGAGAGAATTATTTTTGAGATATTCTTCTTTCAGAATCTTTGATATATTTGGGTAAGTGTAATTTATGGAAAAGAAAAAAGAAGTTATAGAAGAGTGAGGGAAAAGAAAATGCAGTAAAAAGTGTATTAATGTAGAGGGATCCCTTATTTAATAGAGTTATCAAAATGAAAGTGCTAAAAAAGTAAAAAAAAAATGCTGTTTTTGGAATAAACAAAGTCTACTATTATTTATGATAATAATTTTTAAAAAGGGACCAAGCATGTAAAAATCTCTATAAAGTAGGAAGAGAATTAGGAATTAGATATCATGAGAATAACGAAAAAACCCGAACTCTGAGCTTAAGAATCTCTCTTTACGCTACCATAATAAACCAGTGCCACAACTCATTAATGTTTAGATGACTAGATCATACCTAAGAGCTATCTGATACTTCTATAACTAATATAATAAGGTCACATCAAAGTTAACCAATTTAATTACAGTTGAATACCAAAATTATCCTTCAAGTGCCTCTTCATTCAGCTTCCAAATCAGCCATCTTACTGCAAACCTTCACAGAAACAAAACCAAGGTAAAATTAGCTATCAAGAACAAGTCCACAGATCTTTGCAGAAAGAGAGGAGCCTACAATTATCATTTCCAGGTTGATTTCTTTCTACTACTATCTATCATAGAATCGATGCCCGCCCAAAACTCAACCTTGTATGAGCTATGAGTATGCAAGACAACAATATATTTTTCATTTTTATCTATCAATATGAGGACGAAGTAATTTAGTCTGAATTTAATACATCAACAAGATACTTCTACTCTAGGCACTTCATGCAACCAAACGAAAAAGTGAAGACGGAATCAGAAATACTCGCTGCTGGTATCATATTTAATCATGGTTTTTTTTTTTGCCAGACAAGAAAGTTCAGCAACAGCATCTTCTTGTTATATATCATGTCTCTTCTGTCAGAATATATCATGTTTCAAGATCAAGATGTTCAGCAATAGTAACAACAACAACAACAAACCCAGTGTATTCCCACAAGTAAGGTCTTCGGAGAGTAGTGTGTACGTAGACCTTACCCCTATCTCTAAAAAGGTAGAGAGGCTATTTCCGGGACTCTCGGTTCAGGAAAGATAAAAGGGAAGGGGCAATGGCAAGCAAGCCAATCATAAAACCAAGCGAAAACACAAAACTAACACTAGGTATTGCAATTAGAAAACCAAACTGAAGGCAACAACAAGTAATAGTATAGAGATTTTCCTCGGCTACCCCCAAAATCTATCATCCAATTAGTATTTGTCCTGGGTTATCTCCAGAAGAAAGCCTATCATTACATCAATCATCTCGTAGTACCAACAATAACAGAGAATGAGCAACCAAAAGAACAACGTCGTTTAAACCACAAAAACAAATACTACTAAGATTCATTTAAAATGACCCGTTTCAACAATAGGAAAAAAAATGGGAAAGATATACCTCATTTACAGCTTTAACATCCTCTCCTTTCCTCCTGCAAAGACTGATAATGTTTTCCGCATTAGGTCCTTTATATGCACGGATTTGAAAAGTTGCCATAGGTGTACGAAGAGTGAGATTTGCGACTTTCACAGTGATGAAATATTCACGATATTTAGTCATGATATAATTCACTTTTTCAATATACAAAAACTTGTACTTGTAAGCCTGCAAGGAAAATCAATATCACTCACACAAACCATCTCATGATATTGAGAGAGTATTCAAATAGAGAAAGGATGCACAGAGACATACACTACTACTTTTGTTAAATTCTTCAATAGCATGGTTAGCTAGTTCCGTTAGCATGTCAATCTCTGTCTCGAAATCCAGATATGGTACATATATAGCTGCCTTAGCATTACCGGGGTATACGTCAATGTCAAAACCCTGTCAAACAAGAGAAACAAATGTCATTGACTTCTATCCAAGTTGTAAGAAAAAGAGAGGTCATAATTGAACTGATCGAATATATAAAGAGAGTTGAAAGAGAGCCTTGGAGCAACCGTCTCCGTGTGACCTATAGATCACAAGTTTGAGCCGTAGAATCAACTAATTGGCACCCTTTTAACAGACAAACAAACAAGTTAATTAAAATACACTAAACTAAAATGCTATTTTAGGATTTGGTCAGTTAGTTTAAAGAGAAAAGGGGTCNGGCTCGAGCTTTGCTCAGACAGGGTAGTTTAAGCCCTATGAACAGCTCAGTTCGGGGAATGTGTTTATGCGAATAGAAGCTAGAGCTAAGCGCAAACAGAACAAAAAGGAGGGGATTTTTCGCACTACTCTCGCTATAAAATTTTCACACGCTAACAACAGATACTAAACTTGATCTTAGCCGATCGAGAGGGCGAGAAAGGTATAAAGTTCATACGTTAAAAATAACAGTAACCCAGAAAATAAAAAAAATAAAAAAAGATAACATAATAACAAGCACGTTAAGAACAGATACTACGCTTATGTTAGACAATACAAATAACAGTAACTCAGAGAAAATAAGTGAGAAAAACAGGAGCAACAAAGAATATCGCTATGTGATCACAACAGATAATGAAAAAAGAAGAGGGACAAACATCTTCTTGGACAATCTGACGGAAGTATCTGGAGTAAATTTTGCGAAATTCTTCACGGTACTCTATGTTACCGCCTTGAGGCATAAAATCGTCATCGTTCCAAAGAATCTCACCAGCCAAGTATTTCTGTGGCAGTTCTACTCCATATTTTGGGTTATTCTCCGGCGCCAACTAGACTTTGCCATTCTTCCACCAAATCCCTACTGCCGCTTTTCACAAACCAATTGCCATTATATTCCTCTTTCTTTAACATGTTTCCCGCTTTATAGTAGTAGAAAAATAACGAAACCCTCCTTTTCTATTACCCCAAATTAATTTGGATTCGCAAATAGGCCCACTAAGAAGACTAAAATAATAAAGAGAAATTTTCATATAACAATAGCTTTTGGTAGTAATTAGCCATCTATAGATACCATTTGCTATATTACGAATTATAGATACATTTTGTGCGGTTTTAAAATTTATTTGATGTATTTAAGCTATTGTATTCAGGAATACAGTAGCAAAAATAGGCGTGAATCAGAGAAGTCCAGCTAATCAGTTGTTGTATTCGACTGTATTCACGGAGTGAAACATGAGATTACAACTGGGCAGATTATTATATTCAACTGTATTCACGGCGTGAAATAGGGGACTACATTGTTTTTAAAATGGAAAGTGAATCAATTAACATAATAGACTCCTAATATAACAATCTTCAGAAAAATTATATAATACATCTGAATACATAAATTATATTAATTAAAAAAAATATGAATACATTCATGGCATATAGCGAGATAATGAATATAATGAAATACATATAATACACCGGGATACATTGAATACAATGAAAAAAAAGACAGTGAATACAATGAAATACAACGAGATACATTGAATTACAATGAAAAAAAGACAATGAATACAATGAAATACATGAAAATACATTGAAATATATTAACAGAAAATCAAGTTGCTTAGCCCCAAACTCCGTCGTTTTTGTTCAAGAACAAACCCTAATTTCCGACGAATCCGTCTTTCACCGGAAGCCGGTAGTGAAAACACGACCCAATGGAGATTGTGCAGAGTGTGAGGATCTGTATGGCAAAGGCTCTTGATAAGGCTAATGCTGATGGACATAACGTGGATAGTGGACTCAAAGCTATTGGGCTTACAAATCAGCGAGAGATCACCGTTGTGTGGAGCAAATCCACAGGGCTACCTCTTTACAACGCCATTGTTGGGATGGATGTCCGTACGAGTTCTATTTGCAGGTCTTTTATCAATTTCCAACTTTTTTTTCGTTTCTTGATTTTGAACCAAATCCAACTTCGTTTTTCGATCAGAATCAGTATTTGTTTTTTTCCCTTTAATGCATACACATTTGTTGAGAGAGAGAAGATAACCATGGAGAAATACTGGCGTTGAGAGAGAGAGAGGGGGGGGGGGGGGGGGGAAAAA